AAGCAGCTCACTCTCTATCCACCAACATTCCTATGTAAAGGGAATACTATCGCTTCGTTTTGATGCACGCTTTTCGGACTTTGCGTCGTTGAGAATGAAACTTGCATGGCTTACGCATACACGTCCAGACTGTTCCTATGAGGTGTCACAAATAGCACAAGTGACACGGGAGCGCTTTGACCTCGAGCCGTCAAAAGTTATCAAGAACTGCAATAGAATGGTGAAGCATGTCCGTATGCATCGACTTCAGATTCAAGTCCCGAAGCTTGATATTAGCTCTCTTCGTATTGTGGGTTTCTCTGATGCGTCATATAGTGCAGTGACCCTGCGCTCTTTATCCCTTGTCACCGCCGTCGCGGGGGCGCGTTCCCCGCCTTTGACACGTGTGTAACACGTGTGCTCATCGAAAGTGTACATGTACACTTTGGATGAGCCCACACGTGTATGCTGTGCGCTCCCGTCTATGACACGTGTACTCATCCAAAGTGTACATGTACACTTTGGATGATACCACACTTGTATGATAAGCGCGCCACACGTGTACTGTGTGCGCACACTTGGGAAAGTAGACCACGTGTACCACACGTGGCCACACGTGTATGACAAATGCATGACACGTATATGATACGTGTATGACACGTGTACGACACGTATACATACGTGGTGCCCACAAGTTTCTACGCTTATTATTGTCTAATGCCAGGTGGCAATTCCAATGACGATAATTAATTATTAATTATCCATTTAGTAACCGACGCCGACGACGGCGCTCGGCCTATATAGGTCGGGTGTCGGAAGGCGCTACAGTAAAGAGGCATCAGGTGATCGGACCCCATCTCTGGTAGGATCCTCTACGGTTCCTATCTAGTTGGCTAAGTCTGGTACCTGCACCCTTCGTCGTCATCCTTTTTGTTGTTTTTCCATTACTTTTTCCCCTATTTTCTACATTTCTACACTATCTTTCTTCTTCGTTCTTCTTTCTTGTTCTTGTTGTTTACTCCTTCTAGGGCACTCCCGCTGGAGTGCACCCCTTCACGCACACGGCGATGTACCCGCGGTACCGCGTCGACTCCCCTGAGTTACCCGAACAGAGGGACTCAAACACCCTGGTGGTTACTGTACCTTGCGTCGCGCTTTCAACAGCGAGATATACGCCCTCGTTGGCGGTGTGGAGGTGCACTGCACTACACGTCATTTGCAAGCAACTCGGACCTCACGTCCCACCTTGGTTACGTCTGCTTTCTGTCTGATGCCACTGAAGCAGTTATACCTATCGCCTTTAAGTCATGCAAGGCACGTAGGGTGACGCGATCGGTAACGGAAGCGGAGGTAATAAGTTTTAGTGACATGTTTGACTGTTGTTTTACCTTGGCCGAGGATCTACGGAGTATCATGCAGGTCCAATTTATTCCAGTACAGTTATACACGGATAGCAAGTCGCTGGTCGATGTGATATCCAAGGGTACGAGGACCGCCGAAAAGAGGCTCATGTTGGACATGGCGGTGGCAAAAGAAGGATTTCGGAAGAAGGAAATCAGTGACATTGGTTTCGTGCGGAGCAACGATAATGCTGCTGATGGATTGACTAAGAAGATGCATCAAAAGGCCCTCATGGATGTTTTGCGGGCAAGAAAATTATCCATTCGAGCTGAACAATGGATAGTCAGAAACTGAACCGAAGCTCAGTTATCACGTTTACGTTTATTTGAAGTTTTTTTCTTATTTTTCAGTGTCACCTTTACAATCTCCCGTACCTCAGCTACTCTTAATTGAGTTGCATTATCACCGCCGACTCGTCGTAAGATATCCTCAGTGAGCGCGAACGGAAAACGTGACGAGCTATCATGTATAATGCCCTTCTTGCAGTCTACAGCTACGCAGTGGTCCACAATGCCATGTTGTGTAATTCTGCCAATCCATATACCTGTGCACCGATTGACCAACCATTTAAATGGATTCTTATTGAATTCACCTTTCTCCGTTTTCGGGATACGCCGAACATTTATCCCGACCGGGAGCTGATGGACAAAAATGAAAAGCTGCTTCAATGTTTTAAACCTCGTCGGGTACGAGTCAAAATATTTTTTGACTTGCAAAGCGGTGTGTTCCTCGTACAAAGATTCGCATGCGTTGGATACAGCCGCTGGCACAACGTGTCATTATTACTCCGAATGATATTTGGTCCGTAGTCGTGAACCTCGAACTTGCGCGACGCGGAGATATGTCCACGAGCTCCAATCCCTCCAACGACCATCGATGTTCCACGGCACCTTTCCATCATTTTTAACAATTGGCGTAGCAACTCATGGCTTTTTGCTGCTTCGTCTTCCTGTACGCCCGTCTCTGTGTTGAGTTGTTTGATCATCGCCAAGAAGGAGTATGGGGTTAGTTTCAGCGAACTTGGCTCGATTGGTCAAAAGCTTTCCGGTCCTCCGGTCACTCCACCGCACGCGTACAGTGCACCATCACGCAGTGTCTTTCCGCATTTCCCAGTTGTGCCGTCTCCAACAACGATACGCTCGATTCCCCATGTCATCTGGCCTCACCGATACTAGATATTGGAACACCTCCCCGGAGATTTGTGTCCACTTTTGTTCTCAGGTGGACCGTCTCGTGTGGAGGACAAGAAGCGAGCGAACGCTTGCGAGTGCAGGCTATTATACGATACGAGTCAAAGCAGATGTCGGTGGCCAAGACACCACTCCAGTGCCACGTAAGCGGGACTTAGCAGTCATTTTTCCGTAATTTTAATTTCGTTTTATTTCGCAGGGACAGACAGGAATTGTCGTGAACGAATAGGGGAAATGTCAATCTTTTTGGCTTACAGCCAATACGATTGTCTTTATTCGTTCACGGGAGATCGAGGGGTCGATGCTCCCGCAATACCCTGTGTGCGTTCCCCGTCAAAAAGGGGGGTATACTATTCTCGGCTCCCCACCCGGTGACTAGCACCTGGAGGAGGGTAGAGGAAAAAGCACTAAACACATTTTTAGTGAAAGCTGCTTAACCATCGCGTCGGCGTTTCGGCCTCGTCCTATCCTGCACTAATACTAATTTCCGTGTCTGTTTGTCTGTGTGTGCGTTCCCGCGTTGCCATTGGCGCACGGGGGCGCTGCCGTGACAAGTGGCGGCCACGGGCGGGGCCTGGCCGCAGGCCAGGTCCGCCACGTGGACACAAGGTGGCTTTAGGCACGATCGTAGCACTACAGTACAGTACAAATTTAAATTTTGAATGCTACACTACAGTACAGAAAAATAAAAAATACACTCCCGACCCGCTTTGCGTTCTCTACCGATCCCTGCGCACACCGTCTACGCGAAGTGAGTAAGTTAATAACTGTCCTCAATGCTCCGGCCAGCTTGCTGCCCGCGGCATTTGAGCGCACGCGAACGCTTACTGACTATAAACGGTGTGTATCTTTTCTGCGAAGTGTCTACTCAAGAAGAACGCCAAGAATTGCGAGCCGCGCGCCGCGCCGCTACCCCGATCCGCCTGAACTTTTCCGAGTCCCCCACAGCGTCGACACGTGTCAACGTAACTCATCCAGCCCCGCCCTGTGCGCCCGCCCCACGTGTCCACGTCCCCTCGATTGCCCCCGCGCCCGCCCCACGTGTACGGCGCGCCCCTCTGCCACGTATACCACGTCTTCCGCCTGCCCCTGCACCAGCACCCGCACCACGTGTATCGCGCGCAACGGTCCCACGTTTTACACGTTTACCTCCGCCTGTCATTCCTACGTTTCGTGGGCTACGTGTGCCACGTGCGATCGAGCGGCCGCGTGCGCGCACGTTGCCAGCTGTCATTGCTGTGTTGCGCAGTGTTCCCGTATACATGTGTGACACCTGCAACTTTCATTGCTCGCGCGCGGTACTGTAGGATGGGCATGCGCATACTGAGGGGCACGTGGCTCAAGTGAATCAAGCGGGCCGAACATTCCGGTGCGAGGTGTGTGCGTGCACGGTTGCCACTGCACACGACTTCAGGCGACATCTGGCGGGCAAGAAGCACAAGCGTAAGCTCCGATTCATCACGGGATAGTACAAGAAAATAAAGGCCCTATTGTTACTATTTTGCTAATTGCTCTTTCGGACGACCTTGCTGGCTGACGTTGCGTTTAGACCTTTGAGGACTGCTTGCTACTACTCATAGCGATCTACAACGGACCTCTCGCACTTGCGTCAACCTTAGCTGCACTTACAAGGATTTCACTAGCGTCCCGAGCAGAACGGAAATGGCGGGACCAGCGGATGAAGACGTGGCAGAAGCAAGAAGGCAGCAAAGAAACGCGCGTGCAAGGGCAAGAAGAGCGCAAGAGACTGAAGCTGATGCTCAAGCACGTCGTGAGACAGGTCCAGACCGTGCGAGAATCCGGAGGGCTCAACAAAACGAATCTGAGACTGCAGCGCGTCGCCGAACCAACCGGGAACGTCCTGCAGTACGAAGAGCGGCAGAGACTCCTGAGCAGCGCGAAGAGCGTCTCCGTCGAGGCAGGGAGAGAACAAGAGCGCACAGAGCGGGAGAAACAACCCCCCTCCGAGATGCACGTCGCGATGGGGATCGTATTGCGTCACGAGGCGCTAGAGCAGAGGAATGTACTCCCATTCGTGAAGCGCGGCGAGACCTTGACCGTCTCTCCACCCAACAATCAAGGGATGCACAAGACACACCGACTCGGAATGCGCGGCAAGGGTCCGACCGCCATGCTCTAAGTGCTTCTCTACAGCTCTTCCCTCCACTTCCCGACTCTTCGCCTTCGTACCGCGGTCTCGGCATGATATGTACTGAGTGTTCGCACTGCAAAGCTCTGCATTTCGTCCAAGAACGCATCGTGAGCAGTTCTGCGGCAAGGCCGATGTTTTCCACATGCTGCGGGAAGGGAAAGCTTTCATTGCCCCTTCTTCCAGACCCTCCAGCTCTTCTGCGCTCTCTTCTCATCGATGATACTCAAAGGTCCCGCCGCTTCCGTAAGAACATTCGAGCATACAATGCAGCGCTGTCTATGGCATCCGTGGTCGCCAAATGGGTGAACAGAGGGCCCGGCCCTTCCAATTTTAACCCAACAATGACGATGCAGGACGAGATGTACCATTACATGGGTCCCATGATGCCATCCGAGGGGCGGGTGCCTTCCTACGCTTCCGTTTACATTCAAGACACTGACTACGCCACTCAGACGCGCACAAGGCTTGGAAACTCTACACGACTGGAGGAGGCACTTACGACGCAACTGACACACATGCTGCACGAATGCAACCCCTACGTGCAGACATTTCTGTGTATGCGAGAATGAGCTCCATCTCCTCACAACAACACTCCAGCCGCGTACCAGATGGTCATCCATGCCGACCGCAGGCCAAGTTATGAGCACGTGCGTCGGTACAATGGTCCCGAAGCTTCTGAAGTGGCTGCATTGATCCCTGGAAATGAAAACGGAGAGATTGGGCGAAGAGAAATGGTCGTTCGCAGGCGAGGGACTCTGAACAGTAACGGGAACGAAGTGTTGGATCCGATTTCAGTCAGTCATCGTGCATACGATCCATTGAGTGACGTGCTTTTGTTCCCGAACGGTAGAGATGGATGGTATCCAGAGCTTCGATTCTCCAGTGAGGACGACGGCAGACGTACCAAGATAACTCCGATGATGTTCTACGGATGGCATTTGTTCGAAAGGGCAGGTGAGTTCATCTTGATGTTACACGCAGCGCGACTCTTTCAGCAATATTTAGTTGACCAGTTCTGCAAAGTGGAGGCAGAAAGGCTTTCGTATCTCCGCCACAACCAGACAAAGCTTCGAGCGGCGGACCACACCTCACTTGGCGACAGCCTAGGAGACTCCGGTCGTGCTGAAGATGAAGCCGACGCTGTACGTGCAGGACGACTGTTCATTCTCCCTTCTACGCACATCGGATGTTACAGCTACATGAGGCAGCAGATGCACGGCATCATTGCTATATCTTACCAAATTGGCCACCCGGACATCTTCCTCACCATGACATACAATCCTAGCTGGCCGGAGATCACAAGAGCCCTGCTGCCCAATCAAACTCCTCAGGACAGACTGGATCTGTGCGCACGTGTGTTTCGTCTCAAAATGAAGGATCTCATGTCCTTGGTCATCAACGAGGATGTGTTCGGAACCGTCGTTGCCCATGTACGAGTCATCAAATTTCAGAAACGAGGTCTTCCCCACGCTCACGTGGTATTCTTCCTAGATGAGATCTCCAAGAATGATCTGCGTAATCCCGAAAACGTCGACCGCATTATCTCTGCCGAGATCCCGTCTGCCCAAGATCCAGAACTCCAAGAGGTCGTGCTTAAGCATATGATTCACAATCCATGTGGAGAACGCAATCCAACAGCCGTGTGCATTGTCGAGCAGTACTGCAGGAAAAGGTTTCCAAAACCGTTCAAACACGAAACCAGCCAGTCCGAAAGTGAGTACTACATCACGTACCGCGGAAGGTCCCCCTCGGCAGGTGGCGTCTCCATCGAGCGTCCCTCCCGTATTGGCCGACGACAGCAATCCGTCGTGGTCGACAACTCCTGGTTCGTGCCCCACAGTCTACTTCTAAGATCGTTCGCTTTCCATTTGAATGTGGAACTCTGCGTGTCACGCGTTGGCGGAATCAAGTACCTCTTCAAGCATGTGTGCAAGGGACAAGACCGAGTGACCATGGAAATCACTTCCAAAAACGAGTGCTACGACGAGATCTCGAACTTCCAAGATACGTGTCCGCATCGGAGGCCGCATGGAGGTTATTCTCCTTTGATATGTTGTGGATCGCAATCCTCCAGTGGTCAGACTTTCAGTGCATCTGCCCAACCACCATATGGTTTACTTTGAGGAAGGAAGAGAGCAGGAGGCGGCGCTTCGACCAGCATAAGGTACGAAGCTGACCGAGTGGTTTAAAGCCAACGAAAATTACCCAAGCGCGAGGCATATTCGGTACCACAAGTTTCCAAAGTACTTTACGTGGAAGAAAAGCAGCAAGTCATGGAGTCCAAGAGCATCCTTGCCAAGACAGAACGCCAGCAGCGAAGAGGAAGCCTACGATTTCAGTGGCACGGGCGCCAACGTAGTCAGTCGAATCTATACTGTCAGTTCGAGGGAGGGTGAGCGCTACTTTCTTCGCCTCCTCCTCACACAAGTGCCGGGGGCAACATCCTTCGAGAACTTGCGAAACATCGACGGCGAGCAGTGCACCAGCTTCCGACAAGCGTGCTTACGACTTGGTTTGCTGGCCAACGATGCCGAGTGGAAGCACGCCGTCCGAGATTCATTCCGGTCAAGCTTCGTTCCCCTTTCTCATCTGTTCGCTACGATTCTCGCACATTGCCAACCTTCGGATCCTCTCTCGCTGTGGAACGACAACCTGCACATGTTTCTCACCGATATTCGCAATCGCGCGCGCGGACAACCCATTCGAAGACAGCAGCTTCGCGATGATCACCACGCCACATCTTACGTGCTTGGAGAGGTACAGGAGGCCCTGCAGACGGTGCGTTCCAACTGGACGCTCGCACACTTCGGACTCCCACTCCCCGATGACAGCCTGCCCGCTTCGGAACAGCCAAACGAGATCCAGACACCCGAAGCACAAGCGCAGCAGTGCGAAGAGCGACTACAGACATCGTTGCCGCTGTTAAACACAAATCAGCGCCATGCCTTTGACGAAATTGTAGGCTCCATGCTTCCAGGCGTATCCGTCTCGGCATTGCTTCAAGGATCCTCCAGCGCCGTTGCGGGACCTTCTATGCCAACACAAAGTAGTCGTCTCTTCTTCCTCGATGCTCCTGGCGGAACAGGCAAAACGTTCGTGCTCAGCGCCATTCAAGACTTCCTTCGTTCGCGCCCCAAGCAAGTCATCGCCGTCGCCACATCTGCTGTGGCTGCAGTGTTGCTCGACGGTGGACGCACCGCTCATTCCGTGTTCAAGATTCCCATTCCTGTATCTGCCGAAAGCACTTGCAACTTCTCCACAAACTCCGATACCGGTCGTACATTGCAACAAGTCGATCTTATCATATGGGACGAGATCGTCATGTGCTATCGAAACTGCATTGAGACTGTCGATCGCTCCCTTCGCGACTTGATGCAAACCGACCGGCCCTTCGGAGGAAAGTTCCTCGTGCTCGCTAGAGACTTTAGACAAATCCTTCCCGTCGTTCCGGGCGGGTCCAGAGGTCAAATCGTGAGCGCGTGCGTCAAATCTTCCCCACTGTATCGAGAGTGCCGACTCCTGTGCCTTACCGAGAACATGCGCCTCACTGCTCTCCAAGGGGACCCCGCAGCAGATGTGGAGGCTCTCAACTTCCCACAGTTCCTCCTCAGCGTCGGGGAAGGCAGACTTCAATGCGATCAGCGCCCGGAATGGATCTCACTACCACAGTCCGTAGCGTTCGAGCACACCATCCGCAATTTATGCCTCAAGGTCTTCCACGGCATTCGAGACAATCACGCCGACCCTACATGGCTCACAAAGCGCGTTATACTCACCACAAAGAACAGACCGCTCGAGCAGGTCAACGAAGTCATCGGCAACATGATGCCGGGACCGTATCGAACATATTTAAGCGCAGACAAGGTCGAGAGCGAAGACACCAACGCGCTGATCTATCCCACGGAAATGCTCAACACCTTGACGGCCGGGTCTGATCTGCCAGACCACAAGCTCAAGCTCAAGAAAGGTTTCATCGTCATGCTTCTGCGCAATCTCGATCCCACTTCCGGTCACGTCAACGGCGCTCGATATGTCATCGAGAAAATGACCAACAACCTATTCTTTCTACGCGTTACCTCGGGGTCACATGAAGGCAACAGACTCTGCCTTCCACGAATGCCCTGCGGACCAGGTGACGACAACTTCCCATTCCTGGCTTTACTCGAACGCAGTTACCCATTCGCACGTGCTTCGCCCTTACAACGAACAAAGCCCAAGGCCAGTCCTTCGGTGGCCGTATTGGTCTCGACCTACGAGATCATTGCTTCTCGCACAGTCAACTCTACGTCGCATTATCGAGGACTACTCACTCAAGTAACGTCACTATCCTCACTCGAGAGTCCGATGCAACAACGCGAAACGTAGTGTACCCCGAGGTCCTTCAGTAGTCATCAAAAAAGTAAACGCCATTCTCTTTACATCTCGCCTTTGCCACCCTTCCGAATTATTGCTCCTCCACGCGGACTTGGCTCGGCGCGCGAAGCGCGCACGGAGCCCACTTGTCCACAACTACTAAAATCCGTGTCTGTTTGTCTGTCTGTTTGCCAGTCTGTGTGTGCCTGCCTTGCCATTGGCGCTGCGGTGAAAAGTGGCGTGACAAGTGTCGGCGGCCACGTGCGGGGCGGCCTGGCCGCAGGCCAGGCCGCCACGGGGACACGTGGCTGCCACAGGCAGTAAAAATCCGTGTCTGTCTGTCTGTTTGCCAGTCTGTGTGACAAATGGCGGCCACAGGCAGGGCCTGGCCGCAGGCCAGGCCGCCACGGGGACACGTGGCGGTGACAAGTGGCGACAAGTGTAAAAATTAGAATTAAAATGACTGTGGCGGACTGCGGAGCGCGGCCGCGCTACAGTACACTACAAATTTTAGCCCGGATCCGTTTAAACCGCGCCACGCGGATCTACATAGTGGGCAGAACTGGGGCAGGCACTGCGAGCACGTGACGGCGGTGTAGTAGATGGACGCGTACGACGGGGGGGGGCAGACGCGTGAGACACGGGGCTGCCCGAATTGCCGGAGGCTCACGGCGTCGTGGGCGGGGCGGTGGTGCGCGGGCGGCTGTCCGTGGGGGGCCGGAATTCTTCAAGGCGGAGTTGCGCAGCGCGTGAAGCTTCGACGTTGGGGAGCGGATGTGGATGCGCGGCGACGGGGAAGTGCAGGGCGGGGCGGCGACGGGCGGCGACAGGGACGGTGGGCTGCAAGATGATGGTGGGCGGAGATCAGTTTTGGGTGTGCGGCGACGACGTGGAGGAGGTGTGGGCCGGGGCGGCGATGGGGACGGTGTGGGAGGGTGGGCGTGGGGCGTCCGTGGCGAATAGAGAGGGGGCGCCTGGGCGGGGCGGTGTGGAGCACCACACGCGCGCGTGCGCGGGGGGGAGCGGAGCTCCGCTAGCTCCGACCCGGTCCACTCCGCGGACCGGGTCGGAGCTGGACGGCGTAGAGTACTACAAGGGGCTTCAACCGGTGCGCGTGCCGGGGGGCTGAAGAGGTAGGACGGTGAGCAGGCTGCGAAAGCTGTCGGGCGCCCGTGCGGGGGGCGGGGGAGGCGTGACGGCGAGCGGGCTGCAAAACCTGTCGGACACGCGTGCCGGGGGGCGGGGGAGGCGCCACGGCGAGCGGGTGTCAACCGGGTTGCGCAGAGACGGTGGCGGACGTGGTGTGCCGGGTAGCAGCGGAGGCGGGCGTTGACGCCGTGGTGGGCGAGTGCGGCGGGCGGGACGGGCGTGCGCGCGCGATCGCGGACGAGGTGTGCATGCAGCTCCACGCAAAGCGGTTCCACGCGACGGCGGGGACGCTGCTGGAGGGGCAGGCGGGTGACGCGCGCGTGGTGGCGAGCTGCGTGGGGCTGCTGCGCAACATGAGCGGGCAGGACGCGGCGAAGAGCGTGGTGCGCGGCGAGATGTGGCGGGTGACGCGCGTGGTGGGCGGCGGTGGCGGGGCGGACGGACGCGGGCGTGGCGTAGACGTTCTGCGGGCTTGTGGGCGAGGTGTGCCTGCGGCGCGGGGACGTGGCGGACGGGTGAGCTTGGGACGGGGCGGTCGAGGTAGTGATGGGAGCGGTGGCGCGGAGGGCCGCGGCGCGGGCCGCGCACATCGCGCAGGGGCGAGGAACGCGGAAGGTGGTTGCTGCGAGCAGAGCAGGTGTCGCAGCCGGCGGTGTAAGAGGGAGCGCGCGGGCGGGTGGGTGCCGGGATCCGCCGCCGGGTAGCAGTGTTAGGCGGAATCGAGCGGAGTGTTAGGCGGAAGTGAGCGCCGGCGCGGAGGGCGGCGGCGCGGACCGCGCGCGGGGCGCAGGGGCGACGAACGCGTGGCAGGACGAGGGGGCAAGGGGATACGAAGACCGGAGAGAGGACGGGAGAGTTAGCGCAGAGGGCGGGGGAGCAGCGGGACGGGGAACGGCGGCGTGTGCGGAACGAGGAGCGGAGGAGGAAGGGACTTGGCTCGGCGCGCGAAGCGCGCACGGAGCCCACTTGTCTCTGTGACTAATTGTCACCCGTGTGTCCTCCCTCGCGCAGGCTCGGTCCTCCGTTGACAAACGGCCTCACGAAGTGGCAACACAACGACAGTAAAGTCTCTATTGTTGGCGACTTGCGTCAAAGGGCAGTTGTCGATGTGATTGGTGATGGCCGAAAGCGATGATGAGATTGGAGTTTATTTTTACCTTATTCCAGACCCAAAGTACTGTAAATTAGTTGATTTGTCGGCAGTGAACTACAGTACAACGCAAGATATTTTTATATTGGTGGCCATGAAGGCCAGCTGTTACAGCACAGAGTAAACTTTCCCCCCCGCGTTCTGACAAATCCGCCACCATCAAGAGGCGAGCAACAAACAGCCCTTACACCCTGGTTGCTTCCTTCCACTCTGGAGTTCTACGAGCGTTCACTCACGAGGCTGTAATACACCCTGGGTGCTTCCTTCCACGCTCGAGTTCTACGAGCGTTCATTCACGAAACAGCAAGCGCAAGTACTTCGTCTCATTCCTACTCATCCACACAAACGTCCCCACTCATTCCTCTTTCGTTGACAACGCCGTAGACACGTTGACCGTTGACAAAGACAAGAGTGCCACGCGCTGAACGTGGCCATCAACCTTCGCATCCCTGTTTTTCGACCGACCGGCGCCGTTTTCACGCAAACACACTCCGCACCTCATCAACTTTTCTTTTCTTTCTGTCTTGTCCTAGGCGTCTGGCTATTTACTTAAAAATGCAGGAAAGCTACCAGCAAGACTCTATCGATGTGTTCATAAGCCATGCTGGCCCGGATAAGCTAAACATCGCACGTCCTCTTTTCGAGAAATTGGAAGCTGATGGTAAAAAGTTCTTCCTCGACAAGAAATCAATGCAGCCCGGTGACTGCGGACCGGACGAAATGACGAAGGCCATGGAATCTGCGAAGGTCGGTGTTTTCATTCTTTCTCCCGAGTTTGCCGCTCGAAAATGGACGATGAGGGAACTGCGTTGCTTCCTAGGTAGAAGGGAAGAAGCAAGAAGGAGTGGGAGGCAGCCACCAACACTGATTCCGGTGTTTTACAGACTAAGTATTCGGGAATGTAGAAAGTTGGAGCCCAGTGAGCATCAGGATAATGAAGGAAACAATATTTTTGAAGTTGAGAAGTTTTTTAGCGAGGAACGACAGCGCGAGGCGAGCACGGAAATGGTGAAGAGGGAGCTACAAGAGCTGGCAGATATCACCGGGATAGAAAATGACGAAAAGGCAACGAACCGGTTGGAAGACGAATTCAGCCATCTTGCAAGAAAACAACTTGTGGAGCGAGTATTTCTGGCTGTGAAAAAGAAATGTGAGGAGCACTCGAGCGATGTAGTGACAGAAGGCGTTCATGGCCCATTCGAGGAAGAGGCGAAGAGGAGCGACGCCATTGGCGATGCTCGTCATCAAATGCGTACTACATCCGCGGAGGACCCGAAGAAGGATGGCTTCAAGGCTTCGTTTCAAGTGCCAAAGAACCCGGACCATGTCATACTGAAGTTTGGACGCAGTGAAGATGCTGGCAACAGTACGGAACGTATGACGGCTCCGGAAGAACGATTGAGGCGGAGTGTTTTGCGTCCGGGAGACCGTCAAAATGTTGGTGCTGTTGGAGCGCGCCGTGGAGGGGTTGTGGGGACGAAGGGGATGGGAGGCATCGGAAAGTCTTGCGCCCTACGCGGTCTGGCCTCGGATGAAGAGGTTCGCAGCCGGTTTTGCGACGGTATATACTGGCTGGTGCTCGGTCAAGACGCGACAGAACGAGGAGTAATGGAACAGCTGGCCCGCATCACGAGAGAAAGCGGAGGGGAAACGCAAGCGAAGGAGGTGCGTGAAGAAAGCGTGCTAGAATCTGCGGTTTCGAGGGTCACAGAGTGGTTCAAAGGGAAGACAATTTTGCTACTTATCGACGATGTCTGGAGAGAAGGCATGGTCGGGAGAGAAGGCATAGCCGGAAGTAAAGTCATGTCAAGACTGAGAGAAATTGCGGATGTGGAGAACAGCAGCCGTACAGCGTTCACAGCGCGAGAGTGGGGCGTGGTGGAGGGAAGCGAAGAAATCCAATTTTCGACAAAAGAAGATGCTTCCTCTCTGGAAATCTTGCTGAAGTCTGCTGACCTACAACGTGAAGAGGTTGAGGACCTGGGGGATCAAACGGATAGGATACTGAGGTTTTGCGGTGGGCTTCCGCTTGCGCTGTCCGTGGTTGGCAGAGCGATTGCGAGACATCGTGAGATTGCGAAAGAACTTTGTCTGAAAAATGTGCTTGATGAGTACTTGGAGTGTCTGGAAGATACATCGTCAATACTATTGGACGAAAGAGCGGATGGGACGTACCTATACGAGAACCTGTCAATGGCGTTTGAAGTTTCGCTGTGCATGATGGATCGAAAGAAGACCAGAGGAGATGGGCAGTTGATGTCCTACGCCGAGATGTACGAGTCGCTGGTGGTCATTCGGCGCCAAGGATGGTTGCCGTTGAGCGTACTTTGTTTACTATGGAAACAGAAAAGGAAATCTCAGACAAGAAGAGTGCTACACGACTTCGTGGAGGCCAGTCTAGTGGAACGAAAGGATGGAGTGTCAAGTGGTCGCAAGATCGCCGGAGTCAGGTTGCACGATTTGCAGCTCGATTACGTGCAACAGAGATGTGGGAATGGGGGAGAGAAGAGGTGGCATGAAAAGCTTGTGCAAGAATGGCAATGGAACGAGAGTGAGAACAGGCAAGAAGCGCCGCCGTGGGTTTGCGGGAGAGGGTGGAAGAAGGATATGGTGGAGGACGAGTATTTCCGACACAACTTGTGCCGCCATCTCAAGGGGGCGCAGCTGGGCGAGGATTTGTGGGATGTTTTGAGTAATGCCAGGTGGGTGGCAGAGAAGTTAACTCGGGCAGAGGGGCTAAATCTTCAAGAGGATTTCAAGATTTTGACGGACGTAGCCGGGGAAGACGGAGAACGGTGCGAAGCGGGAGGCAGGCTGTGGTCGTTGCAGAAGATTGCTAGACAGGCGAGGCTGAGTACGTCCTTTGTTCGTCGAAGTTCGAGAGAGGTATGGTTTCAGCTGTACGATGGTCTGTTGAGATTTAGGAACGAGTCGGAAGTAATTGGACAGTTCTTACGCAGGATAGAGGAAGTTGCAGAGAAGCCGTGGTTGAAGTCGCTTACACCTGGCTTGAACGTATCAGGCGCGGTGCAACACATATTTCCGGACCAGGGGAGGGTGGGGGGAATGTCGGGATGCGCAGCTAAGAACGAAGTGATCGCTTGGGGGGGTAAGAAGAAGCATCTGTTTCGTCGGACATTCCGGGACGGGGAAATGGAAGAAAACGTGTCGTTTAAAGCGGGATGGGGGAGCAAGCTTTGGTCGGAGAACGGAAAGTATGCAGCGGTAGTACAGGAAGATGGAACAAGCTTGCAGGTGTGGGATATGCATACAGGAGCTACAGCAAAGCGAGTCGGACAGGAAGTGGATGTAGAGCACCTGGGCCGTCGCCCTTTTGACTTGACGGGGGATGGAAAGCGAGTAGCGTTTGGGAGAGAAGATGGTGTGGTTGTGTTGTGGGATGTTGAGAGAGGTGTGAAGATCAAGGAGGTAGCGAATATGCGGGGCCATGTTGTTAAGAAAGTATCGCTTTCACCGGGCGGGAAACGGTTGGCGTGCACGGGAGGATGCGGCTCGAACCGGTCAATTTTGATACTGTGTGCAGAGACAGGGGAGATGGTTCGGGTGATCCGGGTGATTGGCGTGCCGAGTACTCGACTAACCGGTTGGACCAAATGGTTGATTTCGTGGTCGAACAATGGAAAGCGGGTCGCGTGCGTGTTCCAGATGGGGGAATCTGAAGCAAGATTGTGGATCTTTGACGGGGAGACTGGTAGGAGTATCGCGGAAAGCGCGCCGTTGAAACGCGTTGACTGTCTTGCATGGTCGGAGGACGGAACGCTGTTGTACTGTTGCGAGTCCGGTAGCGGGCAGGGTGTGGTGTCGGTATGGGACGGACGCTCGGGGAAGAGAATATCGGAATTTGATGATTTTTGGGCAGCGGCAATATCTCTGTCCGGGGATGGGAGATGGTTGGCTGCTTCCGGTGACGGCGGGGAGGTTTCTGTGAGGGACACAGAGACCGGGGCAGAAGTACGGCGGCACATCGCGACACGCGGGTCGCGTGTTGGCGTCTTGGGCTGGCTAGAAGATGGAAAGCGGATGTTTTCTGCGGATAGGAATTTCAATATTGTCATTTGGAGGTGGGATAATCTGGAGAGGTTGCAGGAGGAGGAAGAGGAAGTCGACAAGGTCAACAAGGAAGGGCAAGAATTCACGGCTGTTGCGTGGTCAAGCGATGACATATGTGCTACTGTGGTTGGAGACGGAGACGTAGTGATGTACGATGTGAAGACGGGGAAGAAGATGTGGGGGGATGCTGAGACACACTTAAGCCCTGTGCATTGTCTGGAGATGTCTAGAGATAGCAAGCGGGTGTTTACGGCAGCAAGAGATGGAACGTTTGCGATGTGGGACAGCAAGACGGGCGACAAGTTGTGGGAAGGCGGGGAGGCCTGGGCCAAGGATGATTACGCAGAAGCAGAAGCATGTTGGTCCAATGATGGGACGAGGGTGTTCGTGTCGTTTAGAAGGGGGATGGGGTTGTGGGACGGGAAGACTGGGAACAAGTTATGGGAGAGAATCACGGACACCTACATGTGGATCGGGTGCATGGCGTGGGCTGGAAACGACACGAAGATCGCGCTTGGGGGTAGGCGTGCTGTTGAGCGCCAGAACGGGAGAGGCGATCAGGGTGGCATGTGGGCATACAGATGGCGGGGTCGTGCTGCGGGGCGCCAAAACAGGAGAGACGATGGGCGATGCCCCCGAACGTGTCCCAGATTCGGTCGGCCTGAAATGGGCTGCGGACCAAGGTCGGACCAAGGTCTGCTTGAGTGGTATTCAGATGAGTTTGCAGACGAAGTTCACATAGATTGGTTCAACTTTGTGAAGGTGAAGAAGGTGTGCGGGCTTCGTTCTCTGTTGAGCGGGCTCCGTTCTCTGTTGGGCGGGCTCTGCTCCCTTGTGGTGGTTCTTCTTCTGCTTGGGTGAAGTGGTCTCCAGATGACAAGTGGATCGCGTCAACTGGATATGTTGAAAATGATGAAAATGGGAAACCAAGGAGAGTCGGAGTTATGATCTGGAATTGGGAGACAGGTGTAACATATCGGTACCAGTGCCAATATGATGAGCTTACGGTACCACCCCATGCGCTGGAATGGTCTAACGACGGGCGACGCGTAGCCTTTGGAATTGGAAGAGAGCTTGCGATATGGGATATTGAGACAGGGGTGATGTTAAGGTATAGCACAAACAGAAACAGTGAACATCTAACGCATATTGCTTGGTTCCGGGACGGGTCGCGAATGGCGACGTTGCGTGGAAGAACGTTACTAATCCTGTCCGTGACGAGTCAAAGCGTTGTCTGCGAAAAGAAATACGGTGGTGTTGGGTATCTCAAAGAGAGCGATCTGCGCCAGTTCATCGATACGAATGAGGGCAAACTCACGGCGGCGGATCTAGAGAGGAAACTGGAGAGGAAACTGAGGATTCGGCAAAAGGGAGATGGAGTGTGCTACAAGACAGGAGATGACAAAATCCGCCTAGCAACCGTTGACGGATATCGTTGGTACTGTTCTACTTCAGGTCGGCACATTGCGATCCAGGTGGAAATTGGTTCTTATGCAAAACTGCACTTTTACGAGCTCTTGGAGTAGTGTGATTGTGAGTGTGTGAATAACCACTGGGCAAAAGGGGATGTCCCGGCCAGGACAGGAGGGGTTGTACCCTCGGTATATGTAGTAAGGGATGATGTGCCAGGAGAAATTTGTATGTATTTGAAGTTGTTTCTAGTTACCCGACGCCTCGATGCCCCTCTCCGCAAAAAAAGTAGCCGGCACATCTTTTCTATGTGTCGCGCGCAGTTGCGTCAGTGTGCGGGGAATAGTGTCGTCCAACGTAGAGACTGCGCGTAGCGAGACCAGCAAACAAAACTGGAGGCGTAACAGGCACATACGATATCAGTCGTTGTAGTATGAAGTTCAAGATATGCACGGCGGATTTGCGGTGGTTTTGCTTTGTCAGGTATTAGAAACTTCGTTTCCGCCAGGAATCGAAACCTTGACGACGGTGTTGACGACGGTGTTAGCGTTGAGGTTGACGGCATGTGTAGCGTCGAAGACGGGCGGTCGTCGGGAGGCTGTGGCTTGTTGGTAGTGGTGGGGGGAGCATGATGGAGCATGAAGAGGTTGTGTGAAATGGAGGTTTTGGGTTGTTTGGACACGGGCAACTGCTCGTGCACGGACACTCACACAGTAAAGTGTATTAATGTGTAAGAGCATCCCCACCGGTACGCAATCAAATCAAATCATCAAATAACAACACTTGGCACAGTTTTTAAAAAAAAAGATTGGCTCCCTAGAATTTGGTTGTTTCGTTATTTGGCTGTTTGATGCTTCGGAAAGAACTGCCCCACCGAAAAGAACCTGTGGTTCCATCCAGATAGGTCAGCACAGTAGATAAGGCACAGCCACATAAGGCACTACAAATCAGCACATAAAGTCACCGACGGCCGCCGTCCCCCCAGGGGTGAGAGGGCCATCGGTGTTCATGGCATCACAGGTTATGGGCCTCACGACTAACCACTGACATCGATCCGTCCAACATCCACCCTCGCCACCGGGACGAAAAAACAACGCGAACGACGACGAGCAGCGCTGACAGAAAACCGCACCACTAACGCGACAACTAACCCGCCTCGTTCTCACAACGCACGCAGATCTCGACATGAGTCAAACCGTGCGCCACCCCCAGGGACAACTCCCCAAGCTATCGACCACCAACTTCCCATTTTGGTACGATGCACTTGAGATCTATGCACGCACCATCGATGCGCAACCCCATCTCATCAACGCAAGACAAGCAGAAGCAGACCCCGCCGAAGAAACGCAACAGCAACAAAAAAGCGATCTGCTTCGCCAAGCCATCATGCAAAGCATGAGTGACGAGATCATCAGACTCGTCCCACCACACATCCTACGATACGACCCTCATACCATTTGTGGTATAATCAGACAAAATGTAGACAGTTCATCCATCGAGAACCACGAGATCCTGGACGCCGAGGCAAGGAACGAAACATATCGTCCGAACCAAGAGCTTACAGAATACATCCATAAGCACCAAGACATCCGACACCGCATGAAAATATCCGGCTATCCGAACATCGACTCGGAAAGGACAACAGTGCGGTACATGATCCATGGACTGTCCCAACACCCAGAAATGCACACAGTAGCCATCATGATGGCGACACACCCACCCAACACGATCAGAGAATTCACAAACACCATTCAACAAGCACAGCTCATACAAGCACGAGCACCGCCAGCCCCGTAGATACCCCCGACCGCGCAAAGCGACAACAGCCCCAACACAATATGAAAAACCAAAAGGGCACGACGGCAAATGGTGCAACATACACGGCAGCATAACGCACAACACGGCAGACTGCCAAACACGTAGACCACGCCGATACCAAACGACAACCAAGCGTCAAAGAAAAATACGACGCAGCCCAAAGAAGGTCAAAAACACGCAGACCAAAGCGAAGAGGAAGCGAAAAATCACTCGCATCCCAACTGCAGTCGGCAGCACCACACCGCCGCCGAAAACACTCAGCCAGGCACGACGCTACCCAGACGCAAAAAAATGGGGACAAGCACACGATGCGGAACTGGACCAGCTAGATGCAATGAAGGCCATCGATTGGACATCTCAAAAAACGGGCGGCAATCGAAAACAAATCCTGCCAACAACCATGACCTACAGATACAAGCGAGACAAAAATCAAACGCAGCACAAGGCGCGTTGCTCGATAAGGGGTGACAAAATGACACCACACATCCACTATGACCCCGAAAAGACGGCCACCTACATGGCCGACAGAGCAACTGTACGAACACTTTTTGCACTCGCTGCATCAATGGACATGGTGATCGAACACTTCGACATCACCGGAGCCTACCTCCATGAGAATTACCAACATACAAAAAAAGTGTATGTCTGGCAACCGCAGAGATTCAACGGAGAATACAAACACGCGGCCACACATGGCCAACTGAAAGGGAATGTCTATGGCACACCAGCAGCCGCGCACACGTACAGCACCCAACTGCACGCCCATCTCAAGAAACACGGGTACAGGCAGATGAGGTCCGATACGTCACTTTTCACCAAACGAGAAGGTAAAAACAGAATTTTTGTTGGCATCAGCATGGACGATTTTCTCCCAATCTCAACAAACAAAAAACTCATCGACGAACTGTACGCCATCCTGCAGAAAAAGTACAGCGTCAAGAGGTTAGGCAGGCCAGCAAAATATCTCAACTGGCAAATCAAGTACGTCAGCGGAGGGATACACATATCCCAACCTGCACACATAGACAGTGTAGTGGAGCTACTGTCACAGACCGGGTGCAACAGCAAAAAAACACCCTACCTCGACGGAGTCAGCACGGACCCCCCCGGAGAAGACGAAGCAGAACGGTCCGATATTGCCACCATATATGGCAAAGCAGTAGGGGAAATCCGGTACATCGCAGATAGCGCAAGACCGGATGTCGCATTTGCAGCAGCGATATTGGCAAGGGCACTCAAGAAACCCACACAACGCCATTGGAACCTCCTGCAAAGAACGGCACAATATCTTCACACCACCAGGGAAGACGGAATCCTCATGCCCAAAGGCAGCAAAAAGAGCGTCCACATCCGAGCATTTTCCGACGCAGATTATGCCAACGACAAGACCAGCCGCAAGTCGATCAGCGGAATGGTAACTCTCGTCAATGGAGCACCGGTCCAGTGGCTGGCCAAGCAACAGCCAGTAGTAGCCAAAAGCACCTGTGAAGCCGAATACATCTCGGCAGCGGAAGCCACAACGCAAACGCTTTGGCTATACAACCTCCTCGACGAGATCAAGCTACCCACAAACACGCCCACGCTGCACATAGACAACACAGCAGCTGCCCAAATGGCAAAAAGCATGGGCGCCACCAAGCGGAGGAAATGCATAGACGTACGGTACCATTTTCTACACGACACCGTACAACAAGGCCACCTCAAGATCCTGCGAATTCCCTCCAAAGAACAATACGCAGACATCTTCACGAAACCGCTGAAAGCGACGATCTACCGCATGCACAAGGACAACATCACCGTCCGCGCACCCTGCCCTCGCGTCGGGGGGAGTGTGGTTCCATCCAGAACCAAAACACAGACGCTCAGACAACGTGCACGAACGACAGACACTGTAGTACCATCCAGATAGGTCAGCACAGTAGATAAGGCACAGCCACATAAGGCACTACAAATCAGCACATAAAGTCACCGACGGCCGCCGTCCCCCCAGGGGTGAGAGGGCCATCGGTGTTCATGGCATCACAGAACCAAATGAAGTACATTCCCCTCGTACTCACCATCGCATCCTTGTACTCACACTCGTACTCACCCTCGTATCGCACCCTCAGTCGTAGTCGCACGCTCACTCGAAACCCATCCCGCGACCTTCTCCCTCGCCACTCTGTCTGCACTCCTTCCCTCTCACCTCCACCGTGGACAAAGACAGACTGCCGGCGCTGTCCTCCCTGCTCACGGACAGCACGCGCTCCCCACGCGACCGCGAGCAGCGCGATCCCGGAGAGAACATACGCGCCGGCGGCAGCGGTGCTGCGGCGGATGATTGGCTCGACAGCCGCGAGCGATGTTCTCCTGCGGCGGCTGCTGCTGCTGAGCAGCGAATCGCACTGCGCTAGCACTGTCTGCGCTTGTGAACCTGTCGGAGGACGAGGCGGCGGCGGCCCTGACGCACGCGGACGCGGTGCGGCTCGCAGCGCAGGTGGTCCTGGACGCGGACGTCGTCGCGCTGCACGCGGCGCTGCTGTCCAACCTGACGCGCTTCGCGCCGGGCGTGGACGAAGCGGAGCGCGCGGACGGGTTTCGGGAGAGGGGCACGCTACTCGTGCTCGTGGAGAGGGTACCGAGTATTCCGAATGTGCTGCGGCTGTCGAATGCGTGCGCGAGCCAGGAGGGGAGGGACGTCCTGTTGGTCGAGGGAAGGCAGGCGGAGAGACAGCTGTTGACGAGGTTGCTGAGATTGCTGGAGGCGGGGGAGGCAGAGAAGAGGCTGGCGAGGGCGAGCTGGGTGCGGAACTGCGCGATGGCGGACGAGTGCCATGATGTGTTGGTGGGGGTACGGCGGCGGTCGCAATGTGCTTGGGGAGGTCAAAGGAGGTGGGACGGGAGGAGATGGCGGAGATTCGCGCCTGGTTGGTCGAGGAAGTGTTGTTGTTGTGTAAGAGCCGGGCGGGGAAGGACGCGCTCAGGGATGGCGGGGCCGTCGACGTTCTGGAGGGATGGAAGGGGGAAGAGCATGCACGCCGTAGTGAGCATTCTGGATCGGCGGGAGACACTGGTAATCTCGAGGCAAATACCGCATCGATGCACTTTTGGTGGGAAGCCGTTTCGGTCGACCAATAGAACGTGCACAACTGGATTGTCAAGGGTAATCAAACAGAGACTATCCGAACCAAATTCTTGATATTTGGTTCCGATTTTTAGATCGACACCAAAAATTTGAGGATTTGGTTGCACCGGTGGGGATTTCAATCGACATCAAATCATCAAATTTTGGTTGTTTGGGTATTTGATTCTACCGGTGGGGATGCTCTCACTCTATCGTGATTTTACTCTGTATTGTCGGCGACTTGCGTCAAAGGGCAGTTGTCGATGTGATTGGTGATGGCCGAAAGCGATGATGAGATTGGAGTTTATTTTTACCTTATTCCAGACCCAAAGTACTGTAAATTAGTTGATTTGTCGGCAGTGAACTACAGTACAACGCAAGATATTTTTATATTGGTGGCCATGAAGGCGGGTCTTAGCTCTGTTGTAAATAAAGATGTAAGGTATATGATAAGGTACACATTAAGTTAAACAAACGGCATACACCGATGCTGTAAGTAAAGAGACGTTAAATTAAAACAAAGGACAAATTACAGTTACAACGCTGCTTACAGTAAATGTTTACTCGGTAAAATTCCTGAGTAAACATTTACTCGCAAGCAGATTAACATTTACTCGGTGTCGAATTGATGGTTGCAAGTAAAT